TTAAGTATGAGATAATGTATAAGTAAAAGAGATTATGGTGTGGAAATATTATGTATTAATGTTATGTTGCTAGTAATATAAGTTGGATGATGCACGTTTTATTTCTGGGTTAATGTGTTTGATTGTTTACTGTTTTCAAGTATTAGAGTTATTGTGGGTAACTTCCTCACTGAGTGATTTCTTCCCGGAATTGTTCATCCCTCTTTTTTCCTCACTGAGTAATCCATATATCGAGATTAAAAATTTATAATATATCAAGATTAAAAATTTATTCATAACTAAGATTAAAAAAAAAATCAATTGAGTGTCAATGCATATAGTAGTAAAAATCAAAATCAAAACTAACTTCAGAATTTGAAGAAAGAAAATTATCACAAAATTATGCAAAACAAAAAATTAAATGATTTATTCTTTGTGATTTGCATGTGCGAAGGTTTTGTTTGAGAAATGTGAAATTTTGTTCTTTTGCAATATTAGCTAATGTTATCGCTCATTTTATCAAAAAAGTATAACCAAGAATGGTAAGTTTCAGTTTTACTTGGCACTTGGAAAATCGACATGGTTTCACACTACAAAAAAAACACTCTAATTTTAACCATCAATTTGGTATTCTGACTAGTATTTGACCAAAATCGATTCGTAAAAAATCGGTGGTCACAAATAGATTTTGGTCAAAAAATAGTCAAAATTTTTTGACCAATAAAAATGGTAAAAAATTTGGTTCTAACCAATAAAGTGGTCGGAAGTTTTTGACCAATCAAAATGGTCAAAATTGTAGTTCTGACCAATAAAGTGGTCGAAAATTTTTGACCAATCAAAATGGTCAAAAATTTGTTCTGACTAATAAAGTAGTCGAAATTTTTTTATCAATCAAAATGGTCGAAACTATATGCTTTGACCAATTTTCGACTATATATTCCAACCAAATTTTGACCAACTTAAATATTTAATTTAAAAAAAATTGTATTCGAAAATATTGAAATTCAAATTTAAAATATTTGATTCATAATAATTAAATTAAAAATAAATATTTTAAAACAATTAAAATATAAAATAAAACACAAATAAATATTCTTGTTATCCACTCAATCACGGATTAAAATATTTCAACATAAACTATTTGGGCTATGGTAAGCCCATTTACGTTTTCGAGAATGGAGTAAGTGGTATTTTATAGAGAAAGTCAAAGATTCATCCCTCCCATATTGTCGATGTGGGACAAATACAAAAGGCTATATATGATCAATATTTGGTCGATAATGTTGTGACCAATTTTTGACAACTATTTGTTCGTCAAAACTTACTCAAGAATTTTTGACCAAATTTTGTTTTAGTCGATAAATGGTAAGAATATTTTGACTATTTACTGACCACTTGTACGAGTTTAAATTTTCATAATTTTTTGGTCGAAAATTTGTCAATAAACTTTTTGACAATTTTACGGGTAAAAAATATGGTAAAAAACTAATGTGTGTTTCTTGACCAATTTTCAACCAATCTTCTTTGTCGCAGTTTTTCGACCATTTTTGACAAATTTACGAATCCGTTAAAAATTGGTCGAAAAATTTTGACCAGTTTTCGACTCTTATATTTCGTCATATTTTTTTTGACCAATTTATAACGAAAATAAACATTCGTCTAAAATTGGTAAAAAACTGTCAAAATAATTTCTGACCACAAAAAAATTGGTCAAAATTTGATATGTTTTTTTGTAGTGTCATGATCAAGTGACAAACGAAGCTGATGTTGAGATTTTGTTGACGCTTCATGTATCTCTCTCGTGATATGAACTCTCTTCTCTTTTGTTTTTTGAAATTGAAAAAAAAAAAAACTTCTAAATGATGTCGTGTTGTCTGATTTTTCTCTGATCCATTATATAAGATGTTAATTTAATTTTTTTTTGTTTTTTTTATAAAATATTTTACCAATTTCTATACAAATTTAAATAAATGTTATCTAATATTTTTGATTTTTTAAATCATATAATCTTTTACATGATTGGTTGAATTATAATTTTAATTAATTAATTAATGTTTTGTTTATAATTTTTTCTAATTTTTTTATAATTTTTTTTTT